CAGTAATCCCACGCCTTTGGGAGGCTGAGGTGAGTAGATTGCCTGAGCCCGCGGGTTCGAGACCCGCCTGGGCAGGCTAGATCTCATCTCTACAATAAATCAAAGAATCAGTCGGGCGTGGTAGTGCATGCCTGTAATTCCGGCTACTCGGAAGGCTGAGGCGGAAGGATCGCCGGAGCCCAGCAGGAGAGGCTGCGGTGGCCGGGAGCAGCCACTGCACTCCAGTCTGGGTGACAGAGTGAGACTCCAACTCAAAAAAAAGACATATATCTAAAGTAGTTTAAGAAACTGGTAAAGATAATGCCAAAGAGACAGCACAACACACCTAGATGATCCAGGGCTGGCTCTCTTCTAAAGCTAAAGAGACGGTTCTAGAATGGAATGAACGCAGGTTTGAGAGCTCAAAATGGTCTTAATTCCTAGGCAGCACTAGCTGAAGTATGTATACAAAAGCTCCTAAATGTCAGCTGCACCTCTTACATAAGCTCATTTAGTCTTATGTGCTCCAAGGTAGACTATTTAGGGGGTCTTGTCAGTGGAGAACCTTCTGGGACTATCTCAAACCTGCCCTACAATGGTGGGGGAATTTAGGTTCATTCCAGCTACACAAAGCCTGAAATCTCCAAAAGAAGAGCAATTCCTTCCGTTTTTATGTCCTAGTGTCCTCTCCTATTCTAACCAAGAAAAACACAAGTTTTTGTAAGAGAGAAAGTAACAAAGGCAGATACATTGAAGCATTCAATTCTATTTTAGGCTTTCAGTGAAATGTTTTTATTTTTCTCTTTTTTCTCAGGGCAGTGATAGGTCAGTGTTTAGACAGAAGGGAATGGGTCTGTTGGAAGAAAGGGGTCAACACTAACTAAAAGTTAACCAGGGACTCCATGAAAGTAAGAGGATGTAATCCTTTTGAACTCTAGTCAGAGGAAAAGGCAAAGTCCCTTTATAATTTCATTATCTTGAAATGAAATGTATTCAGTACACATATGCCTGGCTCCTTTATCAAGAGAGGCAAGTATACTCCTATTGCCATTAAAGTTAAATTGGTCAAAGCTATTCCAGTCACTTTTTGTTTGTTTGTTTGTTTTTTGAGTTGGAGTCTCACTCTGTCGCCCAGACTGGAGTGCAGTGGCCGCTCCCAGCCACCGCAGCCTCGCCTGCTGGGCTCCGGTGATCCTTCCGCCTCAAACTTCCAAGTAGCAGGAACTACAGGCGTGCGCTACAACGCCCGGCTGATTTTTTTTATTTATTGCAGAGATGAGGTCTCGCTGCCCAGGCGGGTCTCAAACCCACGGGCTCAGGCAATCCACTCA